TACTCTCCTCTTAGTGTGTGTGTCTGTCCCTGAGGCTTTGCAGCTGCAGGCTGAGGGGGGTGTCTGAGAGGATTCCCATCTGTGTCTTTCTATGGCTTGCACCATTGTTATCTGATGGTCCCTTCCCTGCTGAATATCTGTTTTTTCTCTTCTAGGGGAGCTGACTCAAACTGGAGTCCCTCATAATGGAACCCCCAGACAAGGGGAAGAGCGACGAGAGGTAGGAATTCATTGGGTGTAATCTTGACCTCCCAGGTGCTGTGACAAATGTTGAGATGCATTCAAAAAAATAATCCCCCCTCAATGCAAGAATCATAATCCCTGAGGGGGAGAAGTAAGTCAGGATTGTCACGTCCCTGAGAGGGGCTTCAGAGCCTGCTGGTATTTTCATAGCTTCTGTGACAGACCCAGGCCTGGGTGACGTCCTGCTCTTCCGACCCGCTTAGGTACAGAGAGGCCAAGTGTGCCTCTGTCCCTTAATGAGGGGAGGATTTTAAGTTCCAATGTACCTAAAAGTGAGATTAAGACAGAAACGAGGTCAAATGCTGGAATTCAAAATGATAACTCAACTGGATTAAGTCCAAGAGAGGCAGAGAGAGAAAGAAGGAAAAACAGAAGGAAGTGGGAAAAGCTAGGAATAATGACAGGAAGCATGGAAAAGTTTACCACCCCCATGAACTCAGTGGTGGATCTTGTCTTTGGTGGTGTGGGGGGAGATCTCCGTGGAGTCATTCTGTGGTCTTTGGTCTCTGTGGTGTGAGCAGAGTTCTCACAGTGAGTGTCAGCCCTGCGGCGCTTCCTGGGGATGTTTGTGTTTGTGTTGGTTTGTGTGTTTGTATTGGTTTGTGTGTGTGTGTCTCTGTGTCTGTGTGTTTGTATCTGTGTGTGTCTGTGTGTGTCTGTGTGTCTGTGTGTGTCTGTGTGTCTGTGTGTCTGTGTGTGTGTCAGTGTGTGTGTCTGTGTGTCTGTGTGTCTGTGCCCTGGGTCCGTGCCGGCCGTGCCTGTGGGGAAGGTTTCCCGCCTTGGCCCGCACGGCACAGCCCCGGTTCACTGGTGTATGTGGGGCAATCCCGCCCACACGGGGCCTGAGCTGACTGTGGATCTCCAAGGCTTTCTGCCTGGCTCCCCAACACTGAGCCTGGGGGAACTCTGCTGTGTTCTGAGTTACAGCATAGGCCAGGTTTTCAAAAACTGGGAAGAGCAGATTGACAAACACCCTCCCTGGCCTGGGGAATGATGGGCAGAAATGGTGTCTCCACAGGGGTGTGGAAGCTTATATTAAAAAAGGTACAGGCTTATCTTAAAAAAGTGGGTGTTTCAGTAGACAGCAGACCCTTCTGGTCTGAATTAAGAATGTCATCTAGTGCGATACAATTTATTTCTTTTAAAGAACAGCCCCTCAGCATGAGACAAGGCAGCTCTGCCTCTTCTTCAGGGATGTTTAAACTTGCAGGAGCTGATGATTGGTGTGGTATTCGAGAAGATGTGAGTGCTGGGGAAGACAAGGCTCTTCCCTTGCAAACTGGGGCACTTGAGAAGAAGAATCTAGGAATTGTATGTAGACAGTAGACTGGAGACACAGGAGAGAGAGACCTGCATCCACTATGCCTGCATGCTTTTCCTTCCCCAATGTCCATAAATATTAGAGCAGGAGATTCCCTTCTTTTGCTGCAGTATTTCACTGATGAGGTGTAGTTTAGAGGATCTGGTTTTCCATGAAGTCACTGTGCAGGGCATGTGACACATCTTTCCCGGTGTTTTGCTGTGGGGCTGGTGGAATGGAGTGCAGGCAGATGTGGCTGAGGAGGAACAGGTCATCTGACCCGCTGTTTTCTGAATTTCTGAGACTTTGCTTTTAATTCAATTTATGGGATTGTTTTAAATGCCACTCCATGATGTCTCAGGTCAGCGCCTTTCCAAATATCCATGTAAAGTAGAGAGTGAGTTTTCACGCCTGGTTATAAAGTAGGCAAAGTTCAGTCTTTGAAAGTGGCAACACCTTCAAAATAGTGGCTTCCCTTTTCCTCTCAGGTGGAGAGTTGGGGCAGAAGTCTGAAGGAGAACAAGAATGGTGGTTGCTCAGATCAATCATTGCAAGGGGATCTGCCAGCTCATGTGCTTATGACCCCTGTTGACTGCTTCTCAATTTGTTTCACAATTAAATGGGTGGACAGTTTTTCCCTTCCCACCCTTCTTGCTGGATGGTATCAGGAGTAGAAATACCTTTTAAGAAAGATGCATGCTGTCCCTTGTGTGTCTCATTCCTATGTGGGACAGCAAATGCTTGCCCCAACTGATTTGTCAGCTGTAACCAGTCTGTGGATTTCCCAATTCCTGTCATGCTGGACATGTGGCATTGTCTGACAACCACGGTTTGTGCACAGAGTATAAATGGGTTGATAACACTGGTGTAAGATGTTCATCATCCTTTCTCTTTCTCTTTGTGAAAGCTTGTCCCAGAAGAGCAGAGACTTGCTTCGTCTTGAGGCGCAAGAGAAGAGGAGACGGGAGGCTCCAGGGGAGAAAGACCAGTTCCCTGGGAAGACTCCCATCTTTGCAAAACCCTACAAGGTAATGGCAGTGGGGTGTGGAAAAGAAGGAGAGGAAGGAGAGCTGTGTCTTCCGCATGGGGTGTAGCAGACTTGAGCATGGTACAGGCAAACACAGCATCTTCCCATCTGCTGAACTTCAGTTCCTCAGAGGATGTGCTTAAAGCTCTGCTGGCTGTGCAAGAGCACGATGGACTTGGGGTTGGTCTCGTGTAGTAGGAGGGAGAGTGCTCAAGAGCAGCTTGGCTGCCTGTCTGTCTGCAGCTGTGGTGATAAAAAAGTGGATCTGGTGTTGGTGCTCCTGAAGGCTGCAGGTGCACCTGCAAGCTTGGCTTGGAATGACTCGTAGTGGCCAGAGCAGTCCCGTTTGCTTTGGAGAGACTGGCAGGATCAAGACCAGCTTGCCTAACTTCATTTGTGCTGACGCATGGTGATTCAGTTATGATCCTGAGGAATGTCTCTTGCTGAGCTGGCTCTCTTGGGGTGCTACTGAAATTTCCAGCTCTCTGTTCTTGTGTTGCAGACTGATAACAAAGGTGCGCTGTCAAGGCGCATTAGGAGCATCCTCGGCGATTATCATGGTTTCAAGGAGTACATGAGGCAGAATTTGCAGAAGGTCATATGGTTTCCAAGGAAGTTCAAGTCCAAGTCAAAGACCAGGAGCAACTGTCATGAACCGAGCTGCAGTCAAACCAAGACATTTCAGAGCTCAGTGACAGAACAACCACTTAAAAATTCTAAGACATCAGAATCATCTGAGCTTGAACCTTTCCTGGAGAAAACCAACACCATGGATGTGCTGTCTGTTGAGGACATTTTGAGGGTAGGTGCTCTCAAAGAACAGAGCTCTGTGT